ATGGAGGCCATCTGGCTCTACCAATTCCGCCTGATCGTCATCGGCGACTCCACCGTGGGCAAGTCTTGCCTCATCCGTCGCTTCACCGAAGGACGCTTCGCTCAGATCTCTGACCCCACGGTGGGGGTGGATTTCTTCTCCAGGCTGGTGGAGATCGAACCGGGCAAAAGGATCAAGCTGCAGATCTGGGACACGGCCGGGCAGGAGAGGTTCAGGTGAGACCGGGGGTTGGGCCGGGCGTTACAGCTTGTACACATCCTATACGTCCTACACGCGGCCATTTGGGGGGCTGTCCACGTGTTTAGGACGTATAGGATGTGTAGGGTGGAGGTGTGAGGACAGCGCTGGGTTTTGGGAACGTTTAGCAGCCGTGAGCGAGGAGCGGGGTGCGCGTCAGGATGGGGCCGGGCAGGGGGACGCCGCTGGTGTTTCACAGGATGTTTCACAGCTGAACACACATTTCTGCCTGCTGAATGCGATGGAATATGCGGTTTGATCCTCTGCAGCGGCAGAGGGATCAGCTGCGGGTAGGACAGGGAAAGGCCGAGATGAACCCTTTGGTTGTGGCTGTGCGGGGATGGCGGGTGCGCTCCGGGAGCGCCGTGCCCAGCGAACAGTTTGAGAGGTTAAGCAATAGGTTTGAAGGCTCGGGGAGGCAAAAATAAAGGTGACGTGTGGGATGGTGCCAAGAGTTTCCCCCAGAACTGTATGGTAAGCACATCAGTCGTGGTTTGAGCAGGCTCGGCCCCAGCTGAGCACGGGGCTGGTGCCGTCGGGGGACGCGTCTCGTTTGGAAGGGATGAGTGTGAGTCCCTTCAGCCCCCACCTCCCGTTTGCCTGTATTTTTCATGCATCTTTAACCCTCATCCGCTCTTTCATCCTGCTCCCTCCGGGAGCACTTTCCTTGCTCTGCATCTCGTGCAGCTTCACAAAGCTTCTCGCGTGCTGCAATGACTCGCTTGAGGAGTGTTTTGGTTTCATTCAAGAAATTAAACCTCTGCTACTCCCGTGCCTCTCACCTCCTTCCTTCGGATCTGTGGTGCTGGCGTCTGGCCCAGGATGTGCAGTTGGTCCTTACCCACTGAAAGGTTTTTCTTCTGCTACCTTGCAGGCGTTCGGGGCGAGGTGCTTTATTGTGCTGCGAGAGGAGGTGCTTTAGCTTGCAGTTGCATCAGCTTCCAGCTTTGCATCTTGGGCTGAGGTCTGTAGAAAACGCGTCTGGAACCTGCCCGCTGCTTCTGCCTTTGCTGGAAAGAGCCAAAGCTGTTGGATGGCTGCAGTTTCCTTTCTTTCATGTGTTAGGAAGTTTGGGGCCCTGGAGGCTGCTTACCCTTAGTGCTGGTGGTTGACCCGCCCTGTGCTGGGGCTGTGAGCATGATGAGCAGGCGACCTTCAGCACAAGGGCAGGCTGCGCTGCTGCCAGGGGCAGCTGCCTTCAAAGGCACGAAGAGTGTAAGGGGCAGGAACAGGGAATGACAGAAAGAAACCCCACATCGTCCAACTTTGAAATGCCCTTGCCAAAGCACAGACTTAAATTCCCACTGTGAAAAGCTGGAGGGAAGTGAGCAAACCCAGGTGTCTTTATGGTACACTCCAAAGTACGAAAAAATCGGGCGAAAAGTCTGTTTTGTGTTTATCCCTTTCAGATCACCTTTAGCCCTCTCACAAATTGTGCCCTGTAAACACAGCAGCTCTTGGGCTGCTCCTGCAGGTGCTCTCAACTTTAAATTTTTTTGTCATAGTACAGGGAATTTCTTAAGAAGGAGATTTGTAAGAATGAGCTCTGCTTTTTCACAGATTTCTCAGATTTGAAGGTTTCCAGTTAGCTTTGTTTAGTTTAACAGCTGCCCCACAAGGAAGCAACCAGTATAGTTATTTTGAAGACAACTTGTTGGCATTCTCTGATCTGCAGCTGTGCTACATTTCTGCTCTTCCTGAACCCCATTTTGAGCTCTTTCACTCCCCATAAATGGGAAGCAATTTCCATGCAGTCAACGCTTAAATTACAGTTAAGTATGTGCCGTTTGTCAGATAATGCCCCAAACGTGCTGCCTGGGACAGTGTTGAGGCTGCTTTGGAGATGTAGAGGACAGGGTCCAATTCTTCCTGGTTCCAGCAGGTTTTGCCTATCTCTGGTGACTCAAATATTGTGATTTCCTTTTCTGAAATGCATTGTTATGTGATGCTAACAAAAGCAGAAGCATGTGCAGCCCTGGCTCCCTGGGACTGTGTGCCACCAGCTACAGAAGAGCCGTCTCCTGGCTGGCAGCTCTGCCTCAGCTGAGAGGGCAAGACTTGAGCAAACAGCCGTCGACCCTGGGTACAAGAGTCTCCACCATGAGTACAGAGCCAGGGGAATTCCCAAACAGAGGCAGTACCTATGAGTTAAAACTTGGCCAAAATAGGTGTCAACACCTGAACTGCTCTGCCTGGGCATATATGGGCATGGTGGGAGGAGGGAAGATGGGAGTCTTGTAAGGGAACTGGGGAGTGGTGCACAGCGTGAGGGCAGTATAGTTTGCTTCCTGCAGGTCTGTAAGGAAAACTGTCTGTGGAAAAGGATTTAAGAAAAGGCACTGAGACCTTCACCTAGTTTCACCTCAAAACAGCATTCAGCTTGGATCCCATCATGTCTTTCTGGGGAACCTGAGGCACTGTTGACGTTGGCAGGAGGAGCCAGAGCTGAGGCACTGAGCACAAGGGAGAAGCAGAAATGCCTGTGACAGCATGGGGGTGAATTCGGAGTACCAATATCTGTTTGCAGCTGGCTAGATAGCAAAAGGCAGATCTAATTCCCTCAGTGCCAAACTTGCAGAGCTACTGTTGTCCCTCAACCAGATAATTGGGAGAGGAGAAATTTCCCAGATGCAGCCAGCTATCTTTTTTCCCCCTTTTCTGACTGTCTTAAGTTTTGGCTGTGAGTTTTCGCCCATTGCTGCATGTCTGTTGATAAAGCAATCCTTGAAAACTCCAGTTCATTCTTTCTTGGGGCAGTATCACTAGTTATACACACCAAACAACCCCTAACAAGTCTTCTGTTTCCAAAAAAGGACTTGTCCCAAGGTAAAAATGGAGCAGTGCTTACATATTCCTGGCAAGGAAAGTTCAGACCAGAGCATGAATTCCTCCAGGGACTGAAATCGATCATTGCTTCTGGATTTAGAATGAATCCATGACTTTGCAGAAACACCCCAGTTTTACAGCATCTTGGTTTTTCCATATGTAGTAGTCACTGAACAGTAGCTCTGCTTAGCCTTGTGGTCTCATGTGCTGCTTCTGGCTGTGTTGAAGTCTGCCCTTGCTTGGAGCAGTTTTGGAAGGTGTGTTCCATTTCTTAGCCCTCAGCTTGGGGGTCTTTTTGGTTAATGCTTAGTGTTGTCAGTATTTGGCAGGAACAAGACCAACAGTGATGTAGGTTCCTCCAGAAAGCTGTTGTATCATTTTGCTGTTACTGGAGGGGGTGGGGGGGATCAGAGTGGCTGTTCCTGTTAGTGCATTATCTGTAACAGAGTGTGCTGCTATTCTGACCAGTGATGTAGAGGGAGAAAGCACCGGGGTCTGTGGATGTCCTATGCCAAGGTCCTGGGTGTATGGAGGGGAGCTACAATCCCATGGTCTGTCTTCCAGATCTGTAGCCTCCTTGTTTTATGTCTTTGTCAGAGAGTGGGTCTTTGATTTCAAATTAATCTTCAATTTGTTACAGTGCTTCTAAACCAATGGGTTAGACAAGGTGTCCAGAAACCTTGCATGGTGGGGGACAGGACTCTTGAGACTAACAGCAAAGGGCATGCAGAAATGCATGATAGAAAACAGAGACAAAAAATGGCGTGGGGTTTTTGAACAGAGCTTTAATAAATCAGTAGCACAGTTAGCCAAGGATTAAATCTTTAAGCCAGGATTAGTTGTCTTTTTAAATTACAAGCTCTATGGAGCACAAGCTAAAAGCGATAAGACGTTGCCTGAATGGGCCTTCTCTGCCCTGTGTTCTTCAGGGTGGACAGGGTGGTGGTAAATGCAGCTTCCTAAAACAAAGATGGGTTTACAAAATGGTTACACTGGGCTTTAGGAAAAAGATAAATCAGGACAGACAAGCAAAACCACATGTGAAACTCACTCTGCCCTTCTTCCCAAACAGCTGTAACATACTTTTGTTGTGGTTCCTTCATTTCCAGGTCCATCACCAGAGCCTACTACAGGAACTCGGTTGGTGGACTCCTCCTCTTTGACATTACAAACCGAAGGTCCTTCCAGAATGTCCACGAGTGGCTAGAGGAGACCAAGGTGCCCCCCCAGCCATACCAGATTGTCTTTGTTTTGGTAGGTCACAAGTGCGACCTTGACACACAGCGGCAAGTCACCAGGCACGAAGCTGAGAAACTGGCTGCAGCTTATGGTATGAGGTACATTGAGACCTCAGCTCGGGATGCCATTAATGTGGAGAAGGCCTTCACTGATCTGACTCGAGATATATACGAGCTTGTTAAAAGGGGGGACATTTCAATCCAGGAGGGATGGGAAGGGGTAAAGAGTGGGTTTGTCCCAAACGTAGTGCACTCTTCAGAAGAAGTGGTGAAATCAGATAGGCGGTGCTTGTGCTGAGCTCCTCTAGGGAGGCAAGCGGTGATGAACTCTACTAACCAAACGTACTTTACTAAGTGAACTCAGTGTGACAGAAGGGAGAGCAACACTCCCGTTGTGACCAGCCTCCCACATTGTTTTGGACACCAGAACAGACCCCAGAAAGAAATGTTCTGTTCCAATTAACCTTTCAGAACTGGGGGCTACAAACCTAATGGTGAGTGAGGGAGGGTGCATGGTCTTGTAAGGAGACAGGAAGCAGAAATGAGGGGCTGCACAAGACAGGTGAGAGTATACAGAGAGCTGGATGGGCTGGCACATGCCAGGGTACTGTACATGTCCTCTTTTAAGTAAATCCGTAGCTCCTTGCTGGGTATTGAAGCCACGGTATGGATACTTTAGTAGTATGACAGGTGGGCAGACAGAGAGAAAGCAAGAAGACATCTTCATTTGTGTCAGCTGTTTATTACCAGGAAGGTGTAAAGGCAGCACAGATACCATTTCTGCATAAGGAAACTTATCCACAGGAGGAGTTTACTGACATAGTTTGCACACTTCTTAAATTCCTTTCTTATGTTCATGAACCTAGTTCAATAGCAAAGAATATTCTGTGGGATTTAAAGAGGAAAACAGTAGTTACTTGATTGGTAATTAAAATTTAAATTATTCACTCTGCCAATAGTGCTTTTCTTGCTGTGCTGAACTGGGATTCGAAGTGGCAACTCCTGCTCCAGTAGTAATTATTCAATGCCTTTTTACGCATTTACTACCTTGAAAGGACCCTGAATTCAGGGCTTTCTAATAGAATTACGTGATCAAGAGCATGAAGAGTCCTCCTATCATGTATCTTAAGGCTGGAGTGTTGCAGCCAGGTGAGACACACCAGTATTTTTGTTTTGCTAACAGCACTGTGCTGACCTTTTGGTTGTCTAACCAACCAGATCAAAATGCAGAATGGAAAGAAGGGGAAAAAAAACCAAACCCAACCCTCCAGCAAAATAAGAAAAACAACTTGAAGAGCTTAACTCAGGTGCATCAGACATCCTAAAAGGTGAGATTTGTTTTCAAAGAAGTTAAATAGCATGGAAAGCCACAGCTTTCATCAGTATGCTCTGCTATTGAAGTGTCATTTTCTTTCTTGGCCTCTGTGGAAGAAGGGAACTAGCACTGGGAAGGAGGAGCTCACAACAGAAGTGTCTGAGCAGGTGGGAAGGAAAGCCACAAGACAAGCTCAAGAGTAAGAGTTGTTTTCCTCCATATTTTAATTTAGCAAAAGAGGATCTGTCTCAGGTGGGCAGCACGATGTGGGAGCCGTGTTGCAAAAGCTGTGTGCAGGTGAAGGGTTTCTGGGAATGCCATTGGCCACTTGAGCTTTCCTTCCACTAGTTTAGCTTAAGCTTTTGAAGTGCAGCAGGGTGACTGTGCTCCTGTAGCAAACTAGGGGAGTTCAGCCTATTAAATGCAAACAAAAACAACTATAGTGACTTTTTTACTCGAGTTTGCACGCTTTATAGACCAAACTGCTAATGGACAGGAAGGGAGGTATTAGGTAAAAAACATGGAAAGCAACTAGTGTTTGGTTTTGGGCCTCTAAGTAGAGACGAAGGAAATACTTGTTAAGGCTTTTTAAGCTACCCCCATCTATAAAAATGTGGGTTGTCTTGATTGCTGTTGAATTCGGACTGTTTCTCCCTTTGAAATTGTTCTCATGGTTTGCAGCACATGGGCAAGCCTGTAAAAGAAAAAAATCTTGTGGTTTCCATATTAAAGCCGTAAAAAAAAAAACAACAGTCCCACAACAACAACAAAAAAAGGCCCAAACCAACAAACAAAACCCTGAAAATCAATAACATTTTTAATTTCAGTGTTCTAGGAACAATTTCAGTTCCTGGGCTCTGCAGGGGAGCATCTGTGCTGGGAGGGCACTGGGAGCAAATTAAGAGGAAGGGAAGGTGGCAACACTCCAGCACCTTTCAGGAAGCTTGTCACTGGTAAGGACTCCCTGCTCACACTTGTATAGGCTATGAATGTAGCAAAAACCTGTGTACTAAAGTTCAGTGAATTCCAGTGGTGGTCGAGTTGAGTGCCCTGATGATAAAAAAGTAAATAAAATACAAATGAAATTGTCCCTTTACAAAATCTCTTTCTAGGTAAGCAGAGCTGGAGAGGAGAGCTGCAGAGCGCGCACGGGAGCTGGGCTGCACGGGCTCTCCTGGGCTGAGCCTGGGGGAGCGCCAGGGTTGCTCGGACCAAACCTGTTAGTCATATTTTCACAAAGGCAAGGACAGACAAGTAGTAAAGGGTGAGTTTCTTCATTCTTAGAATGGACAGTCCACCCAGCAACCTGTCTTCCAGGGTCCAGCTGGTCAGGAGGTGTGGCTGGGGTGGCTGAGCGGAGGCAGCAGCTCTCCTCAAGGGCAGAGCTGCACCAGGGGTCACGAGGAGTTGGCTCAAATGGTGTTTTAGCAATAGTGAAATGCTCCAGTTCTCTGTGCAGGAACCTGGCCAGCAAGGGAAAGATCATTTTTCATGAGACAACCAGTATTTTGTTTAATGGGTTTTGGATGTTCCCTGTTAACTGCTCCCAGAGAGAAATTCCAGAAAGCCTAAACAAGTAAGTGCATTCAGGCCTTCAGAGTAAACTTTTAATTTAAAAACACAAGTGTCATAATTCTAAAGAGGAACAGTACAGACAAAAATGTATGCAGTCTTAACTACTTAGAGGTAATAAATGGTTATCCTAAATGATAGAGAAATCATTATATACATCTTTTTCTAATTCCTTGCATTTTCTAGACAGCTTATTATAATATAGGAAATGTAGATTCATCTGTACAAAATTTGGAATGTTTTTTTCTAAGATGAAGAACTTATAGGATATGCTAAGAATTCTTTTCTAACAACTGGTTTTAATGCTTTGATTGCTAGTGCAAGATTTAGAGAAATGAGGTCATACCTTTCACAGGATCATGAGCAGGAGCTCTTTTACTCTATGACAAAAAGAAAAAAACAACCAAAAAAAAAGGAAAAAAAAGGAAAAAGCTAACTTTCTGTGGTTCCTACCACATTAAAAAAAACGATCTGCATGTTAGATTGAAATTGCTCAGACCCTCCAGAATAAAGCATCCTATACACTCTCCTCGCTTTCTGTTATGCACTGTAACAAAATGTGAAGATAATGCTGTATTTAGCTGTCTGTATGTGACTGAAAATATGCTTGTATTTAGCAAAACGGTTACCACGTGATACTGTGAAATTCAAAACTTGTAAAGATTGGTGGGGTTTTTGTTTTTAATTTCCCCCTCCCTGTTCTTCACCAGTGATCGCTTGACTACCTGTACCCCTTCTGTTCTGCAGCCAGACCCAGTCCAACAGGGACTGGTACAACAATAAACAGGCACCCTGCAGTAGTGTCTGCTGTACATTTGTCTCTGAGGGCTACAGCTTCTATCGTACCAGCTGCCTTGCTGAGAAGACAGAGCAGCTATAGAAACACTGGCCTTTCTAAAACAAAAAAAAATAATTAAAATCCAAAAAACTTCCCCCTCAGCAGTGGCCAAAACCAGCCTTAGTGTCTCCAGGAGGCCACTGTCAGCAGCAGGCAAGACTAGTGTCACAGCTTCTGCAAACTGGCCTTCTGTTCTTACTCAAAGTAACAAACAATGAACAGTCAAGGACAGAGCAACACTGGACAAGGGCCAGTCAGGGAAGCTTGTGTTCTTGCCTATGAGATTTTTAAACTTACTTAGTAGCTAAGACCAAAAAAACCCAAACACACCCAAACCAAGAGTTAAGATGGCCGCAGCCATCTCCCCGCTGCCCAGGCCCAATACCTTTGGAGCCTAGAGAGCAATTCCAGCTCTCATGCTGTCCCCTGTCCCACCCCCAGCATTAGGTCACTGGCAGTTGCACACAGTGCTCATTCTGCTAGTGTAGAAATGCTTAACTTGTCATTTCATTGTGCGCAACAAAGGCAATTGCTGCCTTAGGACCAGCCTGGGGTGAGCACGGGTTAGCCTGTTGGGATCTCATTAATCCAAATTGAAGAGGAAACTTTAAGAGACATGAGGATGTGTTTGCAGCTGCCTTTCCTGTCACTGCTGCTGCTCTTAGGAAGGGAGGGAAGCGGCCTGGGCAGCCCCACATGCAGCCTGTGCAGGGACCTGTTATGAAATAAAACATCAGCTCTAGACCTGCTGCTGCAGCAGAGACACTGGGACAAAGGGCACGGCCCTGTAGGGAAGGAACGAAGGAGCCAAGCCCAGACACTTACCTGGGAGCTAGGGTAAGGACTTACCTCCTCTGTGCCCATCCCTGCAGCTCTTTCTCTTTTGTAGCCACAGTGGTTAGATCTATTGCTGGTGTCCACATATTCAGAAGAGCTGACTCACACTCAAGCCAGTATTCAGCAGCTTCACTTTTCATCTCTGCTGCTTCACTTGAATTCCACCCCCGTCCCAATTAAGAGAGGGAAACATTGAAAAAATCACACACCAGATTTCTGACTTTCTCCCACAAAGAAAGATGCACAAAAACAGGTGTTTGCCACAACTGTTTAGTTTTACTATTTTAATATCATGAAATAAAAGTACAAAAAATTTACAGGTATATTGTTTCTTACATGAAGATCAAACAGTTAACATTTGCATTTATTTTGCAGCGAAACCTGTATTCTCAGTCACAGAATGTGAATATTAGCCACTGACATCACCACTGAGCATTTCATTTTAGAAAGAAACTGCAGAGGTAAAAGGCAACAATCTTGCAAGGCTTCATAAGAACCAAAAAAAAAATTCCACCTGTGAACACCAGAAGTCATGCTTCAGTAAACCATCCTTGTCTAATACAGGTTTCACCACCTGGGAGGCTGCGACATCTTGTCTAAGGGATCGTAAATAGGGGGTTTCCTCTTTACAGGCTACTTTGGGGTCCTTGTTCAATGGATTTGCCGAAACCAGCAGTCTGTGCACATGTATGAAAAAGGGGTGAGACCACCTGCAGTCTTGAAATAGCTTGTGCTGTTTACTCCCTTTACCACTCTTCTCTGAAGACAAGTCCCAAACTGTTGCATGTAAAGTGCTGAGAGTAACAGGCAGTTAACTAACCCGTAATTATTCAAAACACATTTATCCATAGTGAATATCCAGGAATGCTTGCAGGTTGATGCTGCCAATTAACTGACTGAAACAAAATCCAAGACTTCACTGTATTTTGTCTGTTCCTTAGAACATTACAGCTGCATGTCTTCCCAGCCCAAGTTGACTTTTAACTTCATCAGCTGGACAGAGATGCTGTCATGTCAGACTCCATTTCATATGTGCCCCTCAACTTTTCAGACAAGCTTTCAGGTAGAAATTTATATATGACAGACTAGCCTGATCAAAATACTATGTCCTTTGCTGGACCGTGTGGTGCCTTTTCAAATAACTTATTCCATGAAGCATGCATGAAACCAAATTTCGAGTTTACAAATAAATAAAATGGTGCTCACCATTAGTTTTTGTATGTTTTACCATTTACTGAAATGCTTAAAGTAACTCAGTCCCTTAAGAGTGAATTTTGGGGGTGTTTAAATAAAAAATATTTGGAAATTGAAACCACATTTAAAATTGGCAAAACTATGCTTTGTTTTTGGAAGGGTCTTGCTTGTTTCTTCTCTTTACATCCCAATTATAAACTCTAGCCATATCTGAGAGTGTGGAGTTAAGGAAGTAGCTCATGCATTCAGAAAAGAAAAAAAAAAAGAAAAAAAAAGGGGAAAAGTAAGCTACAGAGTTGGCCACATACACTTCACTTACTTGAAACAGTCAATAGAGAAACCATTTAATGACAGAGCTGACTTGGTGCAAGTCAGCACCTTAACACCCAAGAATACCAGTAGCTGTTAATAACTGTACTTGCCTATTTCAGGCATCCAAAACTTCCTGCAGCACTACACTATCTTAAGTATCAACTTAAAAAAGCAAGTAGTTGTGCTTTCCTTTACTAAATCTAATGCTTCTGCTGACAGCTCCCCTCATCATTAAAATAGTCTGTAAGTAGGAAGTATAAAAAAGAACAACCACCACACATCCCTGGAGGTGTTTCATAACAGTATGAAGAAGTGCCAGAGTCAGGCAGTGCCTGGGCTGGCTGCAGTGGGGCTGTGTTGGTTGGAGAGCTCAGCAGTGGCAGCTGAACAGTGTAGGATGTGCAGGAACCCCAAGAACAACACTCCTGTGCTCTGCAGAGGAAAGGAGAGTGGCTTTGCTTTGAAATGACCTCCTGACCATCACACTGCAGCACCAATTCATGCTTCCAACTTGCTTCCCAGCTAGATTTGCAACCATCCCTATTGCCCTGCTTCACTAGGACCCAATCACAGACACAAGCTTTGCTGCATCTAACACAACATCCCATTCACTGATAGAAAAGGTTAAGTCCCTCCAGTCCTACAGAATTTTAAGGGCAGCCAGTCCAAGATAAAAACATGTCACTAACCTGGTAATTACCTGTTTGTTAGCTTTCACACACACATCTTCCCCTGCAAATAAAATGAAAGGATACTGACTTCTGTAGTCGTGAACTGATCTCTAAGGAAGTCCAGCTCCTCCTCTAGAAGATCAAGGTTTCTTGTGGCTGTTGACAAATTCTTCTCTAACAGAGCCTGAGCTTCATCAATATCATATTCAAGCATCACATTGGCCTAAAAAAAGAAAGATTTATAAAAGCTGTTACTTTTGCATCAAAAGGAATAAGTCATAACAGGCTTATTTCAGGCTTTTGCTTATCACATTAACAAATGGCTGTCCTGACAGGCCAGGAGAACAAGATTCAGGGATGATCAATGGGAGAATCCACTTGAGGCCTCCACCACTTCAGTAACTGAGTAAATAAGTCCCTCTAGTAACTTCTAAAAAGTTCTCTTAATATTGCTATGCAACAAGGGATTTCTCTCCCTATGGATTGTGCTCAGCCTTTCAGGTGTCAGTATCTCATCTTCACCTTATCTGAAAAGTGAGAGACTTGACGTTTCTAAGCAGCACCTTCCAAGTGTCACACAACTCTAGAAACAACTTCTGTTGCATTGAAGATTAACCTTAGGATCTCTCTGTGTGGAACACTGGCAAACAGTCTAATGAACAAGAAGTATTACAGGTATTTAAAGACACATGTATAAAAGCCCTATACTGTCCTGTGGTGGTTTTCAATCTACAAATCTTTATTTCAGTAAGAAGCTGCTGCATGAAGAGATAAAGGAGCAGTGTCAAGTGAAGATGGAGCAGTGACATTTTGTCCCGCTCAAGAACTGTGCACTGAGCAGAGGCAGATCCTGCTAATTAGACCTGATCCCAGGGAGTGCCACACAGAGCTGCAAGAGGGTGATAAGCCATTCTTCCTTTAAAATAACTGGCAGACATAATTTCCCCAGTAACAGTAATACCTGTAGCCCAACCTGCAGACTGTAAGCAACAAGGAGGATAAAGACAGAAGGCCAAGAACACCTGAATTTAGTAGACTGCTTTGGCATTTCATGATAGCTTTTCTGTGTGAACCATCAACAGGATGAACTTTCTCTGACATTCTGTTACAAAATAAACCTGGGATGCTCCATGTAAGTCAATGTTTGTGAATTCTGAAGACAGTCTCCTAAAAGCAACAGGTATCAGACAAATAGGATAGAAAAAAAAGTGGGAGATTTGGAGTAACTGCCAAATCAGTCTGGATGCTGCACATGACACCAATGTTTCTGTCCTAGCCAAGGGGTTTTATTTAGCAGCCAACACAGGGAACATTTGAGATACAGAATTATAAACTAAAGATATGTAGGTTATGTCCACATATAAGGAAGGCCCTGAATACAAAATATCCCAACCTGGTATCACTTAAGTACTTAGAAATCTCTGTCCTGAGCTCTGATCCCAGCAGTCTTTAGTACAAATCCTACTCTTAAATGCTGGCAGATACCTGTGAGTAACAGAAATCCCATCTT